TCACTGCTTTTGCCAGTTCCACTGTCTTTTCACTATACAGCTCTCCCCGGAAAGGAAATACCGGCAAGTTTTTCAGAGCTGCAAGTATTGCCGTACAGGTGAAGATGTGTTCTGGAGAAAGATACATATTTTACATGATACCACCTGATATATATTTTAAATACTGTTTTCAAGACATGTAAAAAGCAGACTGAGTTTTGTTGATTGACCATCTAAAAGAAACAGAGCTGATGCAGATGCACTGGGCAGCAAAAAGCCTAGTGCTAATTTGTATAGAACTAATCCTTCCTTTGATGTAGAATATTAATGCTGCTACATTCTACATTTTAGAGAAATTGGGTAAGAGTTATTACATCTGATATTATATTTTTTACATACACAGTGTACTTTGGTATCTGGTTATACCTTAAATATTGCTAATCTATATTAGAAATTTTGAAATCACATTCTGAAAAAGCTAAGAATGAATATTGAAAGGGGGAAAGAAAAATATGGGAGTAAATGATGGTATAAGTACTTGATTTGTTAGGCACAGAAACTATTTTATTTTGGCTACAAAAACAATTATTTTACTGGTTGTTTTAATATAGAATTTATGGTTATGGTCTGGTTAGTGAATTGCCAACTTAGGGGGTAGTACTCTAAGTATTAATGTCATTATTATGTTCTTAAGAATGCTAATCTATTTCAGAAGGGGTTATTCCTAGAATAGTGTTTACTGTATCTTAGGCAATAACTTATTAATAAACCTTAAAGTATAAATGTGAAAAAATGGTAAGAAAATTTTGTGAGTAAATGAGATTCATTCATGTCCAAATTTATCTTTACATCCCAAATTTACCTATTCCATAAAATACCCAATTTACCTATTCCACGAAATATCCAATTGATGCAATCTATTTCTTCAGGGAATGCATGAAAAAGCCTAATTAACATTATCCAATCGAAAATGATCAAATGTGAAAACTGTTTCTGATATGTAAATCAAGGCATTGAGCCATTAACAGTGAATCAAGTGTTTTTTGCAAAAGGAATATCTGATTGAATTTCTGCAATATAGCATTTGATTTCATTGTGTAAGGACTCAAAATGATTTGTTTGGCTGATTTGTTTGAAAGTGTCATTTGGAAAAATTTGTGAAGAGACAAATCATAGGCCATTTAGAAGCAGGCAGACATCATGAAGGTAGTGAGATGTGTGAATATTTCGAGATTTCGACAAACTGTCTACATTGTAGAAACGAATTCAGAACTCTGGAACTGTTGTAAGGAGAACATGCTAAGGTCATAAATGAATAACAACTGCTTCTCAAGATCAATATCTGGCAATCACTGCCTGTCGTAACAGAAAGTGTACTGCTCGGCATTTAAGTTCAGAGCTTGCAGTTTCCATTAGAACTGTTGTGTCTAGCAAACTGTATACAGAAAGGTTTTTATGCTAGAAAGCCAAGGGTAAGTGTTTCACCTCTTTTTGGAACAAAAGAGAGATTACTTTAATTGGTGCAAAGATTATCAGAACTGGAGTGAAGCCCAATAATCAAATACAGTACAAAGTCCGAAATCCGGACGTCCATTATCCGGAATGATCTAAAATCCGGACCTCAAAGTCACACATTTTTTTTTTTTTAATGCGCATTTGATTTTTCCATCCATAATAAAAACATGTGGAAATTTTCACTTAAAAATGCTGATTCTGTAGCTGAGTATCTGCTTGGCATACATCTCAAACGTTCCGTTCCATTTACTGCTGTTCACCGCGCTTACCGAAAACATTCACCTATTTTTATATCCCTGACACCGACCTGGCGAGTTGTTATTTATTCTAGTTTGCTTTCATCACCGCATGTTTATCAATACATAACAGCTTCAGTAATAACTCATGCAGTGAAGTCTAAACTTTTTTATATTAGTAATTGAATAACAAAGTATGGCAACCTTTTTATGCAACATTATTTTGGCGATGATTAGATTTTTAAAGCCTAGAAATATTGACGAGGAAAAATTCAACGAAAATTTCTTTCTATGCAAAATAGATTTTAGAGAAACTCATAGCTAAAAGATTAATTTAGTGCTTTTATTAAGAATAACTGATATTTATTCACCCTAAACCCCAGAAGCGGCAGCAGAATATGTCGACACCGGATGGCGAATTTAGGGAAGACGAAATTTTGGAATTTGGGGAAGCACCGAGCGGCAAATTAAGGGATGAGAAGTTTTTATTGATTTAGGGAGCCACTGGGATTAAAGTTTAGGTGCGGTGAAAATTTAGAACTTAGGAAGGCGCTTTGTAGCAAATTAGGATCCGCAGAACTGCCATGCGGTATTTAGCGCCGCCCTAGATAAAGCGTTAATGTAGGTGGGAGTTTATTATTCAGGACTGAGATTATTTAAGATGGCAAGAAATAAAGAGGGTTAGTAAATACTAAACTAATACAATTCAGTCTTAATTCGGTACACAATAGGAGCAAGACAAAATTTAGCGAAACAACTTAGCTTTCGTCGCCAATCTTGTGATACACAGCCAATAATGTATCACGGACGCTATTAAGCTGGGGTAAAATTATCTTTATTGATTCTAAGGCATTTCAGTTAATATAGCGGGCTGCGCTGCTTTCTAAACTTTTAGTTTGATCCAGCTTATTACTTTTTGCAGACTGTTATTATTACGGCAATTTTATAAAAACCAGGTTTGAACTTTCGATTATGTCGGAAAGAGTTTCTAATTCTGGAGCTGCCAAAGGATCTACAAAGCGAAACCATGTTTCGATGTCCATTAAAACAAAAGTAAATCGCCGCAAAAATGGATAAAGGTTATCCGTCTCAAAATTATGGTAGGAGTATGGCATTGGAAAGTCAACTGTATATGACATAAGAAAAAGGATTTTGAATTTTTTTGTGGAAGCAACTTAAACAACTACATTGAAAGAAATGTTTATAAAGTAAACAAATAATATTAAGCCTTTTTTTTTTGTAATTTGATACCTTTAATCATAATTGTTCTTATTTCATAAATTAAGATTTCATATTTTTAATTGTATAATTTCTGCATGCCATCTTATCAGATTTAAATTGATCTAATATCGGGAAAAAATCCCAAATCTGGAATCGCCGAAATCTCGACGAGTCCGGATTTCGGATTTTGTACTGTGTTTTCTTTACGGATGAGCTGATGTTTTATTTAATATCTGATTCTAAATCCATTTACTTCTGAAGGGAGTTAGAACACGAAATCTTACTTCAAGCATTATCAAACATGGCCTTGTAACATTCTGTGGTGTGATCATATTGGGGGGGGGGACGATGATTGATGGATATACGCTTCTACATGCTATCATCAGTGGAACTGTAATCGGCCAAAAATTTTGGGTGAGGTCTAAGAACTTAATGTAAGACAGTAGTGCATATTGATCCTACTCGTATTCAGTAGTGCATATGGATAATACTTGTCTGCATTGAGCAAACCTCATTGATGAATTCCTTAAAAGTGAAGCCATTTACCCTCTGAGCACTGTGTGTTTTGGGATGTATTAAGAATATCTGTTTAAACTGCATTTATTAGCTAAATTTGTATAATTACTTGTTTTAGTCTCCATTTTCATAAACTTACATTAATTAAATTGACATTTATGTTATTAAAGGAAGTAAGAAAGCAAACTGTCTTAAATGATAAGCTATACATACCTAGTTGTAAAAGACTGTATTTTGTTCTAGCCATTTTTTTTTAGTTTAAGAAACTTTCCTTTCCCTTCTGATTTCAATTTCCTTCCAAAATACAAATTTAAAATGACGCATATGCAAATCTATGTGAGTTTGGAAACAGTATTTAAATAGCATATTTTAAGAGTTCACAGTTGAAGAGTTAGTTCTGAATATATATCGCATGTCTGAATGTAACTTTGTAGTTGAATAGTTGGTGCTAGCCACTTACTTTAAATTATATTGATATTCTAGGCTCGGCTTTGCTGTGTGCAGCAGATTAGATAGAGTAGGAGCCAGTCATGTAGCTAACTTTAATATATTGTGATCGAACATACTATTTTCTAGTTACCTAGCCACAAGTGTGGTTAAACCGTGAGCACTGAGTGCATTTTCTATTCCATTTAGTTAAACCTTCGTCTGAAGTTATCTGCTCTTCCAAGACCTAACGAGAATCCGCTACTTTGTCTTTCAGTGGGGTCTACCAGTTTATGCTCCCAAAACACACAAGAAAGCTCTACAAAGTGACAAAGAATCTCATGACCAGACAAAGCCAGTCATGCCACTCAGAGTGTTGAGCAAATATTATGACCAGCAAAATCTTATCTTAACCTGAAAGAGAACTTGTGAGACTGGCATAAAAAAACAGTTACACGGAGACATCCTCCTCCTAGAGATGTAAATGCCCAATCACGTCATTGCTGGAGGAGTGAAACTTAATTCCCAAACTATGATTAACAATGTTATTGCCAGCATAAAACACATTGTGATGTGTACAAGTCAGTTCACATTCCATATTAAATTCATAAACCTTAAATTTTTCCTTACCTATTCTTTCCTTTTCTGAATTCACCTTGTAACATATTATTACTATTTTTATTGTTTCATGCTGCAGTTTCATATCACATTCAATGCTGTTGAATTTCTTCTTCTGTATTTATGTGTTATGATGATATATAGCATTCCACTTCATGTACTATGTGCATACAGTCTAAAGTGAATTAAATGACCATGTAAAAAATCATTAAATTTGTCGAAAATTGAGATTGTGGCAGCGTTGCACAAATCCTTTTGTTTGAATTCTGGTCCTTGTTGCTACACTGCATGTTATCCCAGTGATGTGGAACTAGGCTTGCTTGCTCAACATTTTTCCTCTTTTATAAACTAAATCTGTTAATTTTACTGTTCATATGTTTAATTAATCATTAACCTAGCATGTATTGCATAAGATGGAGGATTAAAAAATCATATCAAGCAGTTTAGGTAATTTATATTTATGACTATTGTTTTGTTTTTCTAATTTAGGTTGTAAAGTGGTTATAGCTTCAAGAAAGCAAGACAGGCTTCAGCAAGCTGTGGAAGAGATAAAGAATGTTTTGAGACAAAAGGAGCCTGATATTAGTAGCATTGTTTGCAATATCCGAAAAGAGGAGGAGGTATAGTAGTTTAGAAATCCAACTGTGTTGCTCAGAATATAAGTGAAGTTTAAAAAAAAATTAAATTAATAAACTTAAGTTTTTTTAAAGTTCAAGAAACATTTGTTATTAATTAGTTTGGGAAATAATGCGATGTATGCATATGCGGAAGACCATTTACTGAGCCTTTTCAGTCTCTAAAAAGTAACCTGAGATGAATTACAAGCGTTGAGGGGTGTATCAAATTGGCTTTTAGTGGTCCTTCCTGGGGGGGGATCCAAGGCAAAATTTTCAAATACATTTTTTTTTTTTACTATAATCAGTGTTAATCTAAGCTATTATAATAACTTGAAGCAAGTGTCCCCAACCCTATTCACACTGCACCGACCATGGTTTTATGTGTGCCTTGCTGCTGTTCCCAACCATGAAAAGAAAGTATTTAAGTTTTCAATAAAATAATTATTTAAGAATTTTTAAAGAGTAATTAATTAGCAAAATTTGTTAAAAATTACTTCTTTATAATTACAGTAAAAAAAGTCTTTAATCTGGACCTGAAAGCTGCGAACTTTCTGCGCATGCGTAAACGCATAATGCGTTTACACATGTGCATAATACATTTACGCATGCGCGTTTAATGTATAACAGACGGTATAAGCTAAGCTAAAATTATCTAATTATCTATTTCAGTTAATGTTGCAGATTGCGTTGTTCCTTAATCTTCGAATTGGATCAGGCTTATTATTTTTGCAGACTGTTAGAGCAATTTTATAAAAGTAAGCTTGAACTTTCGATTATGTCAAAAAGAATTTCCGATTCTGGAGCTGCCAAAGGATCTACAAAGCAAAAGCATGTTTCGATGTCCATCAAACAAAAAGTGGAATTGCTGCAAAAAATGGATAAAGGCATATCCTTTGTTTCTCTAACCATTCCGAAATCTGTTTATCAATTTCACGCTGCTCTGCGGGGGGGGGACAACGTCACGGCGCGCAATGAACTGGAAGTTGATTTGTCAGCACTATCCTTATCTTCAGGGCAGATGTTTTTATTTTATTCGGCTTATAATTCCTTACTAAATGTAGTATTTCATCTCGATGTACTCCGTCTTTGATATGATTTAAATCAAATTCCTCGTCATTATAAATATCACGAATACACATCAAATAGTTTTCTGGTTGCAATTTTCTAATTTCGACTATGCGTAATGTATGCTTTACGCATGTGCGCGTTGAAAGAAATGTTTAATAAAGTAAACAAATAAATATTAAGCTTTTTTTTTTTTTTTTTTGTAAATTTTGATACCCTTTAGATCATAATTGCTCTTTATTTCATAAATTACGGTTTCATATTTTTAATTTTATAATTTCCGCATGCCATCTTACCAGATTTAAATTGATGATCTATAATCCGGAAAACCCGATAATCCAGAATCGGCGAAGTCCCGACAAGTCCGGATTAAAGATTTTTGACTGTATTTGTTTATAATTTTAAATACGCTTACCAGACGTCCTAATTTGATTGGGATTGTCCCAGTTTGAAGGCATGGTCCTGGCCAGTTTGTCATTTTGACCTGGTTATTTGTTAAAAATTAAATGTCATATATCATTGTTTTCAACTATGAAGATCATAAAATCAGAGTACATATCTTGACTTGCAGATGAACGTCTTGATGATTGCTTGCAAGCAGGAATATCATCATACTGTCCTAATTATAAAGCAGTGGCTTATGAAATGCAATGCCAATTATAACATTGTCTTTACAAATTACATTTTTATAAAGAAATTTTGTACTAACAAATTGTAAACCAAAGAATTTATATACTTTTGTCTGTACTATTTAGTAATAATTTATTTTATATAAGAATGCCATAAATAATTTTTATATCTTAAAATTATGTTTTTGGAATAATATTTGTGTATATTATTAACTATGTCAACCTACAAATTTACATTGAAAGAATGAATGTGCCTGCTATCCCACTGATACTACAGTGTGCTCTAAGGTACAAAAAGTGGAGAATCTTTGACTTAAATTGACTGGTATCAATGAGCTTAATGGCTTAACTCTGATAGTCTTCTCTTTAATAAATTTTAATAATAATACTTCTCTCCTTTATTTATTTTGTATATTGGAAAAATTATGAAAATCCATTGGAGTGATCCTGATAAATTTCTTTATCAATTAACTTCTTAATTTTCTTTCGTTCTTGTGCTTTCATATAAACAGTATGCATTTATTTATTTAGAGTTTGTACAGTGATAATAGACGTGCTTGATTGTGAAACTGTCCTTTTGTATTTAATAATAAATTAAATCAGAATCTTTTTCATTGTAAGACAGCATGGTGGTAAAATTTTATGAACATAAGAAATATCTTCTTAGTTTAGTGATTTGAATAAGCAAAGAATTAAAGTAAAATGATACATTTTAAGAATTTTGTGTTTAATAATAATAATACTTACTATGAAGTGAAGTGCATTGTTATAAGTGATAGTAACAGTGCAGTTGATTTAAAAATGGCCAGTTGGCAAAGATCTCCTCTTTAGGTGGGTTTTTCTGCTTATGCTTGTGTCACTGCATGCATATAGAAAAGAATCAGTTTTTTTTTATTGAAAGTATTGAATTGGCACTTGTATTCTTCATATAAGGAATTGTTTGGCAACTGTTGTCTTATAGCAGAAAAGCTTCATTAAATTACCTCTGATTCTGAACTTTCAGACTTCAAAAAAGGTGTTGGGAAGAAAAGGGGGTTAAAAAAAAGATTTTTTAAAAAAGGGGGGAAGAAGAAGGAAAAAAAAATAATAAAACTTGAAAACATTAGTCCATATTTTAAATAAACTTCAAGATATCCTAAAGAGAGATACTAAAAATTAGAATTCTAATTATTATTATTATTTGGTTTTAGAAGTATTTTGCCCCTTTATTTAAAAAAATATATAATTTCAGCGCAATGATATGAAAGTTGAAATCTTGTAGAAAATCTCTTGTAGAAGACAGTAATAAAAATCTGTTCGAATTAAATTCAGAAAAATTGCCAAACATTATCAATCATGCAAATCTTTCAACTTGCTCCAAAAATAACTCTTCTTTCTACGAATCAACTCAATCAAAATAAACTCTAATACGAGCTTAAAAATAATAAATCTTTGAAATAAAATGCTAATGCATATAAATCAACAATGGCGCATTTATTCTTTCTCTTCCAATTTCTAAACATAATCAACAGTGCTCTTCAGCGATGCATTGCTGTTGTCATAAAAAAATCTTTTACTGGTCAAATAACTATTGCACATTAGACATACAGATGCTAGCATAGTACATTTATATTTATCATCCTTCCACCTTGCAATGTGAAAATTAAACTGAACTTTGCAAAAATGGAATAATAAAAAAGTTTTGAAAAGTCTTGAACTTAAACTACATATATAGGTGGTGAGGAATACCATCCAAATAACAGAATCTAAAGCACTAAAAATATGAAAAAAATATAAAATACTATCACTATGCAAAAAAATAAAAATATAATAATATAGGAAAATTAATAAGAAAAATAAAGTCCAGGTGATCTGGAATTGGAACTGTCCTTCTGGATCTGGTAACTTTCGCCAATTCTTGATTTTCTCGGGTAGAAAAATCTCTCTTTTCAGGCTTTGCAATTTGACTTACAGTGGTCATTCACCAGTAGATAGAGATTCTAAACCATTCAAAATAATTTCCCACTCTGACAGGGTTCGTAGCGGTCCTTACAAGTGCTTATAAGTTCTTATATTTGAAAATAAAATATAAAGGCCCTTATAGGTGCTTACTTTTTCTTTAAAGCCCGTATTTTTTTGTTTTTAGTTCTTATTTTTTGCTTTTAGTGCTTTTTTTTAACCCCTTTTTTTTTAATGAACGCGCATTTTCCCCCGTACCAAAGCCGAAACTAAATAAACAACTTTTCTTCCTTATAGCAACGTCAGATGGGGAATCATACTCCCAGAAATTGCTTTTCCCCCCTTTCTCTGCATTAACGTAACCTATGGTGCGCGTGAGAGTACAGACATGTGCACGTCGTTCTATTGGTCAAAGAATTGGAAAACGGTAAAAATTCCGGTACATTCGGTTTTTTTTTCCTCCCACCCAAATACTACACACGTTTGAATTTCTATCAGATTTTAATATTTGTATTCTCGTTCCGCATGGTCAGTTCATATTTGTGTTTATTATCATCGTCATGCTTTTATTATGAGTCTATGCATGAATATTTATAATAATAGTGCAGTAACTGCTGAGTTAGATAACTTCCAAAATGGGTGTGTTTTTACACAGTTAGTTTCTAAGGAATAATTTCGGAATGGCTTAAATAAAGGAAAGTAATCGAATAGTCAAATATTTTTTTTTTTTTTTCTCCAATACATTATACAGTACGGAGTTTGTAGTTCTCCCCCTTCTCCTCAAATCTCTAATATTGAAGCAGCGGACTTTTTTTTTTTTTTTTTTTTGTCATGTCCAATCTTAATTGATAGGACTAAAGTTTTTGCGTCTACCCAACCCAGCGAAATTGATTCTATTCCAGAAATTTAAGGCAGTCTGTTGAAAATTAATCAAAAACACCCCAGTTAGTTTTCCTCTTGTTTTTATTAATTTCCTTTATTCTCCGAATATCAGATGTTGATTTGTGCGTATTGGAAGAATTACACGTATTTCGGTATTTTTGCAGAGATAATTAATTTTGATTTCCGTCTGAGATTTGTTATGAACACTTAAAGAGTTTTACTGTGGTTTCTAAGCAGAAATTTTTCAGTTCCGTTGGTCTATTTTATATGACATATCAAATGTCAAATCATTTATTGCCCGAGAAATCAAAGACCGGCTACAATCTCCCCCACTCCTCTTTTCCTTACTATCCTATTCGGCATTTTCCGAGTATGCGGGTTTAATAGCTTTTACAGTTAAGGATGACTGCATGAAGCAATTTTCCGTCTCTGATTTCTGCCTCTTTTTTACTTAAATTACTTTGTTTGGAATATCGTAAGGGAAAACTG